TGGACGTTATCATGGTTGGGCCATGGATGCAACCTTGAACGTGTCACCAGCTCACAGATGAGGTCCCGACGCAGAGTTTTCATGAATCAAGCTAAAACCCGAGTTTTAAGCATGTCCGAAGCCTGAAACTAGCAAAATCTCAGGAGTCACTGGGGCGTCTCTTACCAAAAACAACCCTGAACCCCTGAGAGTCTTAAGCCTTCAACCTCAAAAGCATAAGCACCCATGACGGCAGGCAGGGCTCCACGGAAATCGCATGCAGCACGTGATGGAACTCGGTAAACTCGAACTGCTGGTCAGGCAACCTTAGATTTCAGTCAGGGTTTAGGGAATCTCAAGCTCCAGCCGGTAAGCCCTCAACATGAAACCAACTAGGGTCCAGATTCGAAGAGATTTCGATGCTCACACACGTTTGTGGCATAAGCAGTACCTCACGTTTGCAACCTGCACCCAGTCAGCCATGTGCCGGCGTCGTGCTTGCAATTGGCTACTGTGTTACTGCGGTCAAACACAACTCTCACGGCAAACCCATAACACCTTGCTCATGTACATGTCCGCTCACGTTTGCTGAAACTGGACCTCTGTGATCAGCTGCATCCCATGCAGTAGATGTACTGTGCAGCCCCTGGCTATCAGGTCGCGATGGGGGGAAAGCTGTGACTGTTCGTGTATTTGTAGAAGCCCAGAAATGCACCCTGCGAGGTGGAAATTGAGTAATCCTGAAACGTTGAAGACTACAAGTCTCCATCCGAGCTGCGGTTCCTCCTTGCACGACGCTCCTGATCATGCGGGTCTGTTCTGCATTAGTGCGCCCTCATAGAGCCATCGGGCAGTGTTAAAGCCCGGAGCCGCGATCCGTGAGGACCGAAGCCCAGGACCAGGATGCAGTTGGGCCGTTAGGAAACTTCAACCCGAGAAACCCGATAAAGCTAGGAGCTCGGAACCCAAATCCGGAAACTGTGGCATCTGTCCTGCAGCTACAGCGCTGGCGGCCTCATGGAACAGCCGGATTCACGATCCCTACCTACGCTTGAAGTTGTGGGATCGCCACCCCTCCAAAGGCAACGGATGCAGGCAAGCTGAGCGAGATCCAGTGGTCTTATTGTGCCTGCCTGCGACAGGACAGGAAGTTCTCAAGCTGCACTCCACATGGGGGCAGGTAGTTCTGAGCTTCCACCTACAAGACCGTATGGCTCTAACCAGCTCTACAAATCGGGGGCTACTACATTCTGATTACGCCTCACTATTGCACTAAATCGCGACAAGCCATGTATCGGACTTCACTGTGGCATGTGCAGGACCGCTTTGCGGAACTTGGATTTGGGGCTTGACGTCCCTTCTGTTACCATGCCTCCTCGCTCAGAGGGCAAATTCAAACCTCGCCATGTGCGACCCAAACTGCAGAAGACCCACAAGCCCTTCTGAAGCCGTCACCCCACATGCAGCACACCCATAAAATTCACAAGCCAAAAACCGCTTGTAGGTGTCAAACCTGCAGTCAATGTAGTCCTGCAAG